GGGTGGTTGAGCATTGGTCTGTCTGATCTGGAGGAGGCTGCTTTTGCTGTATCTACGCAGGGAGAGAGCACGTGTGTGTCGTTGGGCATTGGGCCTAGGTAAAGCAGGGGGATAACCCCTTTGGTATAAGTGTGGTTGGGCCTTGGCCCTATGTTTATCACTTGTGCTCAACCATTTTTGTCAAGGCGGGGGTGCTGTTGCTCACTTTGCTAATTTCAATTTCTTAAAATTGACCAGTTTTCGCCCAAAAAAGCCACCCTCAATGTGCACTCTGGTTGTCATGCTTGTAATTCACTGAGATGGGAGTGTTGCTAAGAGGGCAAGTAATTATTGTTGGTTGGCTAAGATTATTAACACATTGTAGTGAAGCATATCAAACTCCAATAATACACAACACACTTTTTACACAAGAGGATTGCATCACATACTGTACATGTACCACGGTACAACTAAACGCACATTCAATTACACCTTACCAAATCACCTTAAGTTTTTCCTCACTCTTCCCAAGCCTGCTTTCTTTCCAGGTGGTGGCATGGGTGATTTCCTGCTTCCCCCTTTGCCCTTCCCCTTGTCCTTTCCATTACCCTTCTCTGCCTCTCTCCTCGTCTTCTCAGCTTCTTCTCTTTTCGCCTTCTCCTCTACCTCCCTCGCCTTCCTCACCTCTTCCTCCCGCCTTTTCTGGGCTGCAGCTTCCTCTTTCGCCTTCTCTTTGCTCTTTGCAAGCTGCTTTCGCTCCTCCCACTCTCTCGCCTTCTTCTCTTTCTCTGTCTCCCTCTTAACCCCACTCGCTTCCCCCCCTTGCTTCTCTCCACTGGCACTTCCCCCTGTATTCTCCCCTCCCATCTCCCCTCCCTTCTCCCCTCCCTTCTCCCCTCCCTTCTCTCCTCCTTTCTCAACCTTCCCCCCTCCCTGATCTGACTTGCCGCCACTATCAGCCCCACCAGCATCTCCTCTCTTCTCCGACCCTTTCCCACTCCTGCGAGATGAGCCTGGGCGTGAGGCTGACGTGGTGTTCGATGTCGTAACAGGGTTACCACTTTCTGAGGTGGAGTTACCGCTTGCAGAACCATTGTTTGCAGCTGCAGCAGTCAAATTTTCAGCTTTCTTTGCTGCTGAAGCAGCGGAATCAGCAGCAGCAGCAGCGTCTTTCTGAATCTTCGCCCATTGATCCAGAGCTGGGAGCGCAGAAAACGCCAGGGGACAAGAGCAAGTGGAGAGGGGGGGTTGGGGGGGATGGGAGGGTAAGTCGCCTCAAAGTTAATACACCTCCGCTCATCCAGAGCCGAGAGCAGCGCAAATATTAAGGGACATGAGCAAGTAAAAAACATAGTTGCGTCACCTCAAAGGTCATACGTGCCTACTCATCCAGAGCTGAAAGCAGCCTTTCCTTACCTGTGCACTGGCTCTTCACCAGGTGCTCACTTATGCTCTTGTTGACACAGTAAGGGTTGTTCTCGCAGTCACGCAGGACGGACCACCGCCAACAATAAATCTTGCTCCAGCCCTCACAGAATCCATACTCCTCTTCGTGCAACCATTGCCTGCTGCTGCTGCTGCTGTTGCTGCTGCTTCTGCTGCTGCTGCTGTTGCTGCTGCTGCTGCTGCCAACCCCACCAGCTGGCGTGGCAGAGTCCATTGCTGATGTGGAGTCCGTGCTGACGTGGCAGCCGATGACACAGTTGCAGAAGCGGGGCCTTTCCATGCACTGAACGCCGTTGAGACACTTGTTGTAACCCCAGAGGCACTCAAACGTCCGGCACACCTCGGGATCCTCGTCATCAGCATAAGCAGCTCCGTTAGAAGCACTAGTCCCACTTCTACCACTGTAGTTGCTGTAATCAATGCAGTCGTTAACCCCGTCGCACCACTTCTCCACAGGCAGGCACCGACCAGTAGACGGGCACTGCTTTAAGCCTGCCCATTGGCAGTCAAAGGCGCGGCAGAGGGAAGGGTCCTCGTCTGCTGTGTAAGGCAGTAGCGTAGAAGCGACAGTGCTGGGTGAGCTAGCACTGACGGTTGATCTGCCCCCCGAAACCACCCCTTCCGAAGCAGCATCTGAGCCGCCAGTTGCACCATGCATCCCCTGAGCTGCATTATCGGTTGCGCTGGCGGTGACTGGGCAGTCGTTCTTGCCGTCGCACCTCTGTGTTTTCTCAATGCACAGGGTGCTTCCAGGACACTTCCAGCGACCAGATGAGCAATTATGACTTTCGCACATCGCCGGATCCTCGTCGTCACTATAAGCCGATGCATTAGCCAAGGCGGCAGCAGCACCAGTGGTTCCTCCTTCATCATCATCCCCTAAAGGACAATCGTTCTTTCCATCGCAGACCTCTGATTCGTCAATATACACATCGACCCACACGCCCCCCTCGTCTTCAAACCCCAGAACAATCACTTTCTGCTGCCGCTGACACTTGAAATTCCATGGTTCATTCTTCTGGCAGACCTCGGGGTCCTCATCCTCGCCATAAGGCAGGGTCAGGTTCGTTACGGGGTGCTTCATTAGTGGGCATTCGGACACGCCGTCGCATGCTGGCACACACTTGTTGGTTTCGGTGCAGCGAACATGGTCTGAGTTCAAGCAGCCCGGCCCGCAGACCTCGTCTGGGTCGCTGTGGGGATCCACGCAGCAGTAGCCCGAGCCATAGGTGATGTTGCAGAACCAGAGGTCATCACACACTGCCTGGACAGGCAAGGAGTGGAAAGAGAAGAAAGGAAGTGGGCTTGGGTGTGAAGGGAAGGCGCGACAATGGGGAGGAGGGATTGGAAGAGGAGCGGGTGGGATGGGAAAGGTTGTAGAGGAGAGTTTTAAAAAGAATGGGAGAGGAGAGAGTGGAAGGGGAGATGGTAACAGGGGAGAGGGTGTGAGCGGAGAGACCAGTGAGAGCGCAAGAGAGCAGAGGATTGAGAAACAAAGTGGGAAATATTAATGAAAGAGAGGGAAAGTGCTGAAGCAGGAGGATGAGGGTCGCTACTAGGAACATCACGCAGAACAGAGATTGCAGCTCACATAAGTGTTTTGTGTCTGTCCACACATCCATTCCTCCTGCATGCAGGGCTCGTTCGCACCCCGGCAGTACATGCCCTCGGTAGGGTCGTAACACTCCCTCCGTCCAGGCCCACACCCATCGTAGCTGCTGCTGCTGTCGTTGCTGCTTCCAGCAGTACTGTCTCCATTGTTGCTGCTGCTGTCACTGTTGCCACTGTTACCACTGCCGCTGCTGCTGCTGTCATTTCTGAGGCTGCTCTCACCGCTGCTTCCATTGCTGCTCAAGCCGTTGCTGGCGTCATCTCCTGAAATGCTGGTGTCATCTCCTGAAGCGCTGGTGTCATTTCCTGAAGCGCTGGTGTCACTGCTTGTGTCGCCGCTGTCGAACGAGTCCCATCCAGGATCCTGTGCTGCCACCTATAAAGGGTGGGGGAGAAGCATGAGTGGGGGCAAGGTAGGGTTACGAGGCTGGGAAGGAAGAGGTGAGAGTGGGGAAAAAAAAGCGAATGACACAAGATCCTGTTGAGAACCACAGAGGCTTGGGAAGTGATAGTAGCCGAAGCGAGGTTCAATCGGTGGGGTTGTAACACGAGATGCAATGTGGGGATGTATATGATGCGGGAACTGGAGGCGGCGGGGAAAGGCGCCGAGGGGTAAGCCTCGCCTGAAAGGTTATTTTAAGCGCTGGAACGGTCCGTTACGGGAGACGCGGAAGTGCCTTAGCCAGAGCTACTTTACCCTATACTTGCTAATTAGGTGAGTTAGAAAACTAGGGCTACTGTATTGTGGTATCTCACACTAAAAACTGAACACGGTAATGATGTGGATGGATGGAGGGCGGGAGGCGCATTACCTCTTCGTCCGGTATGGACAGCGCTGTAGACAGCAATGACGCCAGCAGAAGCGCGAGAAGCGGCCACGAAACCGCAGCTAACGACCTGAACGGCAACCGCCGCTGTGCCATTTCTAACAGCAGTACTAACGGACGGATACGATCCGTCAGACTCAGTACTAGTAACCGACGGACTCGGAGCTTTGCGTATTTGCTCAACCAAATCAGATGGCCTCGTTGAGACCTTTCGATTCGTGGTGAACGTTTCGGGTCTGTTAGGGATTCGGAAGGTAAAGTCTCGGTTTTAGGGTTTCGCGTCTGTCACCTGTTCCTCGCAACACGTACCGCAGCCACTCAGTGAAGGCTGGAAAAACAACTAGATCTGTAACATTTATTATAGAATGAGAAGGAGCGAGAGGATAAACGAGTAAATGCGGGCTTGCTTGAGATTACTGCGACAAAGGGGTGATCGAGAACCATCACAAAAAACCTGAGACAGCTGTAGTACAGTAGTACAGTATACGATTTGGAAACCGCGATGCACACAAATGGCAGTGTGCACGAGAGGAAGAGGGAGTTGGAGAAGAAACAGCTTGTGTTCGAAATGTGACGAGGCGCATCGCGGTAGATACAGTATTGCCCTGCCTTGCTGTCAAACTGAGGTTGGTGGTGGAGCGGGCTGACGCCTTATGACCCCCAACGACCGCAGCGGAGCGCGGTATAGCCCTGGTAGGGGTCCACCTGAGCGCAACAATCGCAGGTCAATTTCAGGGGAAACAGAGATTTCAACTTCAGGAGCGTGATGAGGTCGCGGAAGTCAACGCAGATATGTCATTCGTGCGAAAGAATACGAATGATCGAGAGTTACGTTGCTGACAAGTTATATCTGCATGTTTTCGTTATGAGTTGTAAGGAAGAATGCACATGTTTAACTAATACGGTAACGAAGCTGTGACTAAATGAACTGACAATGAAATGAAGGGCTATCAATAAAATAGAGGCTGACAAAGGGGAAACTCCAGAAATTTAGGATAGGTAGGTGCAGGTTGGGGAACTGAATGTATACGAAGGCTATGCGCATGAACATGCGTACGGACTTGCCTACGAAAAAGCTGATGTGTCACTAATCAACTTAGTCAGTCTCAGCCACGAATGTGAATGTTCTGGAGCAATTTACAAGATGTAAAGGGCTAACATAACAAACATAAACATTGTACAGACACAGAAACAAGATACCCGTACCGCTATCTTTCAACGTAAGGAACATGTAGAAATGCCAATCAAGCTATACCCGTACCATTACCGAAGGTTTTTACGTGACTTTCTTACCCCTGTATTCCTCCCATGCGGTGGCTTGGGTGATTTCCTGCTTCCCCCTTTGCCCTTCCCCTTGTCCTTTCCATTACCCTTCTCTGCCTCTCTCCTCGTCTTCTCAGCTTCTTCTCTTTTCGCCTTCTCCTCTACCTCCCTCGCCTTCCTCTCCTCTTCCTCCCGCCTTTTCTGGGCTGCAGCTTCCTCTTTCGCCTTCTCTTTGCTCTTTGCAAGCTGCTTTCGCTCCTCCCACTCTCTCGCCTTCTTCTCTTTCTCTGTCTCCCTCTTAACCCCACTCGCTTCCCCCCCTTGCTTCTCTCCACTGGCACTTCCCCCTGTATTCTCCCCTCCCATCTCCCCTCCCTTCTCCCCTCCCATCTCCCCTCCCTTCTCCCCTCCCTTCTCCTCTCCCTTCCCCCCCCCATTCTCCCCTCCCTTCTCAGCTCCCTTCCCCCCTCCCTGCTCTGACTTGTTACCACTATCAGCCCCACCAGCATCTTTTCTATTCTCCGACCCTTTCCGGCTCCTACGAGATGAGCCTGGGCGTGAGGCTGACGTGCTGGTCGGTGGCGTAACAGGTTTACCATCTTCTGAGGTGGAGTTACCACTTGCAGTACCATTATTGGCAGCTGCTGCAGTCAAATTTCCAGCTTTCTTTGCTGCTGCAGCAGCGGAATCAGCAGCAGCAGCAGCGTCTTTCTGTATCTTCGCCCATTCATTCAAAGCTAAGAGCACAGAAAACACCAGGGGACAGGAGCAAGTGGAAGGGGGGTGGGGGGGGTGGGGAAGGGGGGGAGGGTAAGTCGCCTCAAAGGTCATACATGTCTGCTCATCCACAGCTGGGAGCAGCGCAAATATCAGAGGACAAGAGCAAGTAGAGAAACATTGTTGCGTCACCTCAAAGCCCATACGTGCCTACCCATCCAGAGCTGAGAGCAGCCTTTCCTTACATGTGCACTGGATCTTCAACAGGTCCACACTCATGCTCCTGTTGACACTGTGTAAGGTGTCTTCGCATCGATGCATGCAACAATCAGAGGGAGGAACAGGGGTATTCGTGACTTAATGCAACCTTCGCTTACCTGTGCACTGGCTCTTCACCAGATCTTCACTCATGCTCCTGTCGACACAGTAAGGGGAGTCGTGGCACAGACGCAGGTAGGACCAATTACGACAGATCTTGCTCCAGCTCTCACAGAATCCATACTCCTCTTCATGCAACCATTCCCTGCTGCTGCTGCTGTTGCTACTGCTACTGCCGTTACTGCTGCTACTGCCGTTACTGCTGCTACTGCCGTTACTGCTGCTGCTACCGCTCCCACCAGCTGACGTGGCAGAGACGTTTGTTGACGCGGGATCCGTGCTGACGTGGCAGTCGATAACACCGTTGCAGATACGGGACTTATGCACGCACTGAACGCCATTGGGGCACTTCTCGTAATCCCACTGGCACCGAAACGTTCGGCACACCTCTGGATCCTCGTCATCGGTATAAGCAGCTCCGTTAGCAGCACTGCCACTTGTATTACTGTAGTTGCTGTAATCAATACAGTCGTTGACTCCGTCGCACCACTGTTCCAATGGCAGGCACCTGCCGGTAGAAGGGCACTGCTTGGACCAAGGCCATCGTGAACCACAGTCAAATGAGCGGCAGAAGGAAGGGTCCTCATCTGCTGTGTAAGGCAGCAGGGCAGGTGAACCGGCAGTGGTGGCCGAGCCAAAAGTGGTGGATGAGCTAGTATTGACGGGTGAACCGCCACTTGTAGCCACCCCTACCGAAGCAGCATCTGAGCCGTCATCATGCATCCCTTGAGCTGCAACATCGGCTGCACTGGCGGGTATCGGGCAGTCGTTCTTGCCATCGCACCGCTGTCCTTCCCAAATACACAGGGTGCTTCCAGGACACTTCCAGTATCCATATGAGCAATTAAAACTCTTGCACATCGCCGGATCCTCGTCATCACTTAACACCAAGGCTTCCTTGCCAGTATTGGTCAAAGCAGCAGCACCTGCACCACCAGCAGCAGCAGTGTCTTCTTCATCATCCCCTAAAGGACAATCGTTCTTTCCATCACAAACCTGTGCAGAATCAATGTAAACATCGACCCACACGCCCCCCTCCTCTTCAAATCCCGGAACAATCACTTTCTGCTGCCGCAGGCACTTGAAATACCTGTTCTTATCCGTCTTGCATACCTCAGGATTCTCGTCCTCGCCATAAGGCAGGGTCTGATTCGTTACAGGGTGCTTCATTAGTGGGCACTCGGACATGCCGTCGCATGCCTGCACGCACTCGTTGGTTTCGGTGCAGCGAACCTGGTCCGAGTATTGGCAACCTGGCCCGCAGAACATGTCAGGGTTGCTGTGGGGATCCACGCAGCAGTAGCCCGAGCCATAGGTGATGTTGCAGGACCAAAGGTCGTCACACACAGCCTGGAGAGGCAAGAAGTGGGAAGCGAGGCGAGTTATGAGCTATTTTTTAGGCGCCTTAACAAGAGTTTCCACAGCCTGGCCTGCAGTGCTCGCCTGGGTCGCTATGGGGACCCACACAGCAGTCGTCCGAGCCATAGGTGATGTTGCACGACCAAAGGTCGTCACACACAGCCTGGAGAGGCAAGAAGTGGGAAGCGAGGAGAGTTCTGAGCTATTTTTGAGGCGCCTTAAAAAGAGTTCCCATAGCCTGGCCCACAGTGCTCGTCTGGGTCGCTATGGGGACCCACACATCAGTCGTCCGAGCCATAGGTGATGTTGCATGTCCACAGGTCCGAGCACGCTTCCTGGAGAGGCAAGAAGAGGGGAGCGAGGCGAGTCATGTGCATGAAGTGGGCTCGGGAGAGAAAGGAAGGCGTGACAGTGGGGAGGAGGGATTGGAAGAGGAGCGAGTGGGAGCGGAAAGTGTGTAGAGGAGAGATTCGGAGAGGATAGAGCAGGAGAAGAGAGCGTGGAAGGGGAGACGGTTTCAGGGGAGAGGATGTGAGTGGGGAGGTGAGTGGGAGAGATGAAGCAGAGGAATGAGGGGCTGAGAGTGAGAAACACAGTGGTAGAGATGTAACGGGAGAGAGGGGAAGAGGCGAAGCAGGAGCATGAGGGCGGCCAAGGAATGTCATGCGAGGAACAGCATGTTTCTACTCTTAGATGATCTAAGGCCATAGGTTGTGGCTTACATAGGTGTTATGATTCTGTGCACACATCCATTCCTCCTGCATGCACGGCTCGTTCTCGCCCCGGCAGTACATGCCATGGGGTGCACCGTTGTCGTAACACACCCTCTCTCCAGGCCCGCACCCATAATCATCGCTGCCGTCGCTCTCACTGTCGTTGCTGCTGCTGGTGCTCTCACTGTTGCTGCTGTTACTGCCGTTGCTGCTGCTGATGTCGCTGCTGCTGTTGCTACCGCCGGTACTGCTGCTGTTGCTGCCATTGCCAATGCTGCTGTCACTGTTGCTGCTGTTACTGCCGTTACTGCTGCTGTTGCTCTCATTGCTGAGGTTGCTGTCACTGCTGCTTCCATTGTTGCTCAAGCCGTCGCTGGCGTCATCTCCTGAAGCATCGATGTCAGTGCTTGTGTCACCGCTGTTGCTACTGTTGCTGCCATTACCGAGGCTGCTCTCACTGCTTCCTTTGCTGCTCAAGCCGCTGCTGGCGCCATCTCCTGAACTGCTGATGTCACTGCTTGCGTCGCCCCTGTCGGGAAAGTCCCAATTAGGATCCTGTGCCGCCACCTTTTGAGGTTGGGGGAGAGGCAAGAGTGGGTGCCAGGAGGGGAAACGAATGGGGGCAAGATAGAGCTATCCGGTGAGGCTGGTAATAGGTGAGGGTGGGGGAAGAGAGCGCAGAAGGGACAGGTTGATAGCTGAAGAGAGGCCTAACCAGTGGAGCTAACATGAGATGCACTGTCTATGCACTGTCCATGATGGAAAATAGAGGCGGATTGGGGAAAGGCGTCGGAAGCCGCGCCGGAAAGAGAAATTTCCTGGAGGGGTTAATAAGCGTCGGAAAGGAGGTTCAACGGGAGGATGGGAACAGTGGCGGGTGCCAGGGAAAGCGGAAATATTAGAATGATCCGAATCGAATATATGACATTTATCGAAATGCCATTGGGTATGGAAAACTAGCTACTATAGGGATCTCGCGTTAAATAGACACAGTTGGGATGGGCGGCTGTCGGGAAGCGCGTTACCTCTTCGTCCAGTGTGGACAGCGCTGACGTCAGGAATGACGCCAGCAGAAGCGCGAGAAGCAGCCACGAAACCGCAGGTAACGACCTGAACGGCAACTGTCGCTGTGCCATTACTAATATGACGGCCACGATCCGTCAGCGCGTTAGCGTTTTCGATACTCCGACTCGTAGGACTCCGTTGAGACCGTCCAATGCGTGATGAACTAGGATTCACGTTTTAGGGTTTCGCGGTCTGTGTGACGATCTGGCACTGCCACTGACAACACTAATTTATCTGTCGCTTATAGCCGAGAGGAAGAAAGAGCGATATTCAAAACGAGTAACGGCGGGCTACCCTTTGAGATTATTGCGAAAGAACGAATGATCGAGAGGAAGAGATACTATCTCTAGTACTACAAGTAGTACTATAACAGCCAGTTACACACACAAATGGAGGGGGAAGAGGGACTTGGAGAAGAAACAGATTGCGTGCGAAATGAGACGAGCCGCATCACGGTGGATATTGCCCCTGCCTTGCTGTCAACCTGAGGTTGGTGGTGGCGCGGACTGACGCCCTCTGACCCCCGACGACCCCAGCGGAGGAAAGGTTAGGGCTGGATAGAAAGCGCCCACCTGAGCGCAACACTCCCAGGTAAATTTCAGGAGAAACAGCGACGCCAGTTCAGGGGCTTTGATGAGGTCGCGGAAGTCAACGCGATAATTCAATTGTGCGAAAGAGACGAATTTGCGAATGTTACGTTTCTGACGATTTATAATTGCATGTATTGGTTAGGAGTTGTAAGAAAGCGTGCGCATGATTTACTGAGGTAACAACCAAGCTGTGACTAAATGAACTGACAATGCAGTGAAGGCATGACAATAACATAGGAGGCTAAAAAAGGGGAAATTCCAGGAATTTGGGATATGCGCAGGTTGGGGAATTGAATGTGGAAGAAGGTGATGCATACGAACATGCCTACGAAAAGGCTGATGTACCAATAACCTTACTATTTAGTCTCAGGCGATGAATGTACTGGAGCAGTCGACCATAATGTACAGAACTAAAGTCGACATTGTACTGACACAAAAATAAGGTACCACTAACCGTTCTTTTTATGTATACAAGCCATAATGACAACGTAGAATTGCTGATCGAGGTATTATTTCATCTCATCGAAGGTTTTTTCGAGATTTTCTCGCCCCCGTTTTCCTTCCAGACAGTGGCTTGGGCGATTTCATGCTTCCCCCTTTACCCCTACCCTTGTCCTTTTCCTTGCCCTTCTCTGCCTCTCTCATCTCCTTCTCGGCTTCATCCCTTTTCGCCTTCTCCTCTGCCTCCCTCGCCTTTCTCTCCTCTTCCTCCCGCTTTCTCTTCTTTGCAGCCTCCTCTTTCGCCTTCTCTTTGCTCTTTGCAAGCTGCTTTCGCTCCTCCCACTCTCTTGCCTTCCTCTCTTTCTCTGTCTCCCTCTTCATCCCACTCGCATCCCCCCATTGGTTCTCTTTGCTGGCAGCCTCTCCTGTCTTCTCCCCTCCCTTCTCCCCTCCCTTCTCCTCGTCTTTCGCCCCGTTCTTCCCCCCTCCCTGCTCTAATTTGTTACCACTATCAGCCCCCCCAGCATCTCCTCTCTTCTCCGACCCTTTCCGGCTCCTACGAGATGAGCCTGGGCGTGAGGCTGACGTGGTGTTCCATGGGATAGCAGCAGCACCGTTCTCTGACGTGATGTTTAATGGCACAGCAGCAGCACTGTTGCCTGAGGTGGAGTTTCCACTCCCAGCAACGGTGTTGGCAACCTCTGCAGTCGAATTGTCAGCTTTCTTTGAATCAGCGGCAACAGCAGCTGCAGCGTCTTTCTGTATCTTCGCCCATTCATCCAGAGCTGGGAGCAACGCAAACACCAGAGAATAAGAGCAAGTGAAGGGGAGTTTTTGAGTTGCCTCAGAGGTCACATGTGCCAATTAATAAATCGCTGGAAGCAGCACAAATACCAGGGGCAAGAGCAAGAGGAGGGGAATCAACTGAGAAAGGCAACCTTTTGAAAATCAACCGACCTCTGGAAAAGTAGATAATCAGTTAAGAACCGAATATGAATCAGTAAACCTTTGTACATGAGCCAGCCTTAGGTCATGGGGAACCTATGAACTTAAACCACGTAAAAAACAATGCTAACACACACTTGAATTAAAGGGCAAACGATGTCTGAACAAGAAAGGAAATCTGAAAATTGAGAACAGAGAAGATTGCATAAAGAGGACGAGGGAGAGAGAGAGAGAGTCCTGGTTTACGTGTAAATGGCCCATGCACGTAAACCAGACCGAGAGTCAAACCACGTTTGAGTCACTCAAACCACGATCGCTCCCATGTCCTGGTTTGAGTAACCACGATCACTCTCGGTTTCCTGTGCAACCACGATCGCTCCCGTTTTACCTATGCAATGGCTCTTCACCTATTCCCCACTGTTGGAATTACATTTGGAAGTTCTCAAAGGTAAATTATTTCTTACCAGTGCACTGGCTATTCACCAAGTCCTCATTCTTGCTCCTCTTGACACAGTAAGGGTTGTTGTCGCACCGATTCAGGTCGGACCACCATGGACAATGAATCACGCTCCAGCTCTCACAGAATTCGTACTCCTCGTCATGCAGCCACTGCCTGCTGCTGTTTCTGCTGCTGCTGCTGTTGTCGGTGCTGCTGCTGCTGCTGCCGCCAGCTGACGTGGCAGAGCCTGCTGATGATGTGGAGTTCATGCTGACGTGGCAGTCGATGACAACGTCGCAGAAGCGGGTCTTTTCCACGCACTGAACGCCGTTGGGACACTTCTTGTAACCAGAGAGGCACTCAAACGTCCGGCAAACCTCGGGATCCTCGTCATCAGCATAAGCAGCTCCGTTAGCAGCAGTTCTACCACTGAAGTTGCTGTAATCAATACAGTCGTTGACCCCATCGCACCAATGTTCCAGTGGCAAGCACCGACCGGTAGAAGGGCACTGCTTGAAGCCTGTCCATCCACAGTGAAATTCGCGGCAGAGGGAAGGGTCCTCATCTGCTGTGTAAGGCAGTAGGGCAGGAGAAGGCGAAACAACAGTGGTAAGTGAGCTAGTACTGTCGGGTGAGCTGTCAGGTGTAACCACCCCTTCCCCAGCAGCATCTGAGCCTTCAGTTCCACCATGCATCCCCTGAGCTGCATCATCGGCTGCACTGTCGGTGATCGGGCAGTCGTTCTTGCCGTCGCACCTCCGTGTTATCGAAATACACACGGCGCTTCCACGACACTTCCAGTATCCAAATGGGCAAACATAACTCTTACACATCGCTGGATCCTCGTCGTCACTTAAGCCTGTTGCTTCCACGCTTGTATTGGCCACAGCAGCAACAGAAACAGCAGTGGTGTTCCCTTCATGATCATCCCCTAAAGGACAGTCGTTCTTTCCATCGCAGACCCTCGTGTAACAAATATACACATCGACCCACACGCCCCCCTCCTCTTCGAACCCGGGAACAATCACTTTCTTCTGCTGCTGGCACTGAAAATACCATGATTTTTTCTTCTTGCAGACCTCTGGGTCCTCATCCTCGCCATAAGGCAGGGTCTGGTTCGTTACAGGGTGCTTCATTAATGGGCATTCGGAGGTGCCATTGCATGCCCGCACGCACTTGTTGGTTTCGGTGCAGCGAACCTGGTCCGAGCGTCGGCAGCGTGGCCCGCAGACCTCGTCCGGGTCGCTGTGGGGATCCACGCAGCAGTAGCCCGAGCCATAGGTGATGTTGCAGGACCAGAGGTCATCACACACAGCCTGGAGAGGCAAGAAGCGGAAAGTGAGGAGAGTTATGTGCTTGGAGTGGGCTCGGGAGGGAAACGGAAGGCGTGACGGTGGGGAGGAGAGATTGGAGGCGGGGCGACTGGGAGTGGAAAGGGTGTAGAGGAAGGATTTGGAGAGAAAAGAGTGGAAAGGGAGAGGGTATCAGGGGAGAAGATGTGAGTGGGGAGATCAGTGGGACAGAGAGAGCAGCAGACTCAGTGGCTGAGAGTGAGAAACACCGTGTTTCTGGGAGAGAATTGATGGGAGAGAGGGAAAGTGCCGACGCAGGAGGATGATGGGCATTAGGAAGGTGACGATTCTAAGACCAGAGGTTGCGGCTTACATGGGTTTTGTGTCGCTGAGCACACATCCTTTCCACCTGCATGCACGGCTCGTGCTCACCCCGGCAGTACATGCCCCCAGGTGCTCCACTGTCGTAACACTCCCTCTCTCGAGGCCCGCACCCATTGCTGCTGTTGTTCTCACTGTCATTGCTGCTGCTGTCACTGTTGCTGCTGTCACTGTTGCTGCTGTCACTGTTGCTGCTGTCACTGTTGTTGCTGCTACTGCCATTGCTGCCGAGGCTGCTCTCATTGCCGAGGCCGCTCTCATTGCCGAGGCTGCCCTCACTGCTGCTTCCATTGCTGCTCACGACGTCGCTGGTGTCATTTCCCACGATGATTTCATTGCGCGGATCTCCGTAATCAAAGTCGTCCCATCCTCCAGAATCCTGGGCTGCCACCTTTGGACATCGGGAGAAGGGCATAGTGGGAGAAGGCGGGGAAAAGGGAGTTCAGTTTTATATGTGGTGGGGCATCCAGGATCCCGTTGACCGAGTCCCATCCAGGTTCGGGCCGTTGACCGAGTCTCCGGGATCCCGTTGACCGAGTCCCATCCAGGGTCGGGCCGTTGACCGAGTCTCAGGGATCCCGTTGACCGAGTCCCATCCAGGAGTCTGTGCTGCTACATTTGGACATGGGAGGGGCAGAGCGGGGAAGGATAGGAAAAAAATGAGTTCCCTGGCGAAAGAACCTAAATCTGTGCCACGGAGTGAGTGGGGACGAGAGAAGGGGGACCGAAGTCAGGTCAGGGAGGAAAAGGGGAATAGAGGAGGAAAAAGGCCTTTGGGACAGAGGAACCCTAAACCCGGTAACAGAGGGGGAGAAAAATTCGACTCCATGTTTTAAGGAGTTAACTCCAGTGCTGTGTTCGCGGAAAAGGCGGTTTAGAAATTTGGAAATATAAAATATGGAAACAATTTCCACCTTTTCCATGCTCGGACCAGGGTTACTAAACGTGTCCTAAAGTGTGAAAGAAATGTGCTGTATCGTGTGAAAGAGTAAAAAAGACGACACTGAATCTTTACCGAAACAGTGTAAACGCGAACTACCTCAGCGCGCCGCTCGTCTTCGTATGTAGACATCGACGTTGATAAAGAGGTAAGCAGAAGCGTGAGAAGGAGCCACGAAGCCGACGCCGCTGCTAACTTCGACCTGGACGGCAGCTGTCTCCGCGCCGCCATGATTATCGTGACGTTTTCGGTCCTCGATTGGGTGGCGAGTTGTGGGAATGAAGATCAAACGGACTTTTTTTTTTTTTTTTTTTGCCTGAGGATTTTCAGCCAACGACCGAATTACAGCTACTGTCACGCGGCGAGGCACGGTCTGGAAGTGGTTGCTGGTCTAAAATAAGATATCGCGCCACTATTGTATCAATAAAGGTCGATCTGTATACTAAGCCTATCGTTGAGATGATTCTGTCCAGTAGCAACTACAAACAAATATGAGCCCAGCACGTTTCCGTTCCAGGGTTCGTTTGACGCAGTTCAATACGGTCGACTAGGTTTAAAGCAGGTTTCTGATGTTCACCGCTTTACACCGTTGCGCACCAGAATGTACCTTTCAAAGTCGATTGTGGATGAACGAAAATGAGGCTCCCTCATTATCACCAAGGGGGAGGTGGAGGAGAAACGAGTTGCGTTGTGTGCCAAATGTTGCGGCGAGGCGCAGAAATCTCATTGCCTTGCTGTCAAAAGGCGGTTGGTGGGTGCGAGGAGCTTCTGACACCCTCTGACCTCCAAAGACCACAGTGGAAGGCAGTTCATCTAGGAAGATTTCACCTGAGCGTAACACTCGCAGGTGAATTTCGTCGGGGGATTTACTTTCCCCTGGGTGGGCTGGTTGTGAAAAGAGCAACAGAGGAATCTTTTAAAATTTTTATGACACATCGACTGGGCATTTTCCACATTCAGGTACCAGAAGGGTGGAAAGGGAGGGTACAGCTCAAAAGGGAGTTCAGGGGAAGATGTGTGAGTTAAAAATCTGGCAGATCTTTTCACCTGGAAGCAGCAGTTTCGGGAGCGATTCTAGGTCAGGGGGAATCAGGGATCCCTGTCCATTGGTCCCAGGGGATCCGATAAGGTCACGGAAAGTCAACGAAAATTGGTGATTTGCTGCCAGTGAGCGACTACACTTTGGGAAAGAAATTATTGTATAAATGTGTGATAAGAAATTATCGTAGAATCGTCGTTGTTGTTGGGCAATGACCTTGTTGCTGACTGCACGTGAATCTTCCAGATCAGCACACAAACCATACCAGCGAAACGCAATTCGGCCCTGCTGGAAATGCCATGTCGACAACTACTGCATTGACTCTGCCAGGCGTGCAAGAGCCGAATGGGCGCGTTGACCAGGTTCTGCACAGCACACGTCAGCGACGGTAGCCAGTCGGAGAAACGGTGAGAATTTGAGCTTGTCCGCGCTGGCGACGCGAAATCCACGACATCACATGGGCTGACGCAGTCATCCATCGCGAGCGGGACTTTCGCAATCACGTGAGGCTGACAGGCGATTTGTAATCTAACGAGCGACAGGCGTTGCGAAATCGAACTGAAGTTACCAGCCGTGGACGAAATCAATCCGTGTGCTTTCCCCCACCTTCAAAAACCACTCCTTCAGAACCAGAGCTCAAAATTCAAATGAAGTGGCCTTCCATTGCCACAGCTTTCTTTTGTGTTCACGTTTGCTCTTTTTGTTCTCCGTTCTTGCACAATCAGACAACCGGCGGTGATCATTTTCCAGAATAACGAAGCTGAACAATAATCCTACGCCCAGAATCTACTATCGCCGTTCTTTGAACAGGTGTCACCAACGTTCTCACGAAGACTTAACAACATCGGCGGCGACGATGCGGACTTCATTGAATTCTCGCTCTTCCAAGCACACGCCGGCGACCTCAATCGCGGCGCTGATGCTGCTGCTGGCGCTCTGCGTCCACGCAGACCTCGAGTCGCGCCTCGTGGGAGCGGAAAGCGTCAGCATCGACGCGTCACAAAGTGAGAGCGGCTGCACGAACGAAATAATATTTATGAAAATTTTCAGAATGAGTGACTTGCGTACCGTCACCTGCGTGCGGAACGGTCTGGCAAGATATTTGGATAAAGAGTATGAACCCCGTGATCCCATCCCTGCCTGACCAGAAAGCTAGTACGCGTTGAAAATATTTCTTAGCCCGCCACCGTGGAGAAAAAAAAAAAAACCAAGCGAACAAACAAACAAGCAAACAAACCCTCCCGCCTCCCTCCCCCTCTTATATCGCTCCCCAGTCGCCCCTTTGAAGGCCGTGCAGGCAGGGCTGAACTACACGCTGGTGAGCAGCGACGACACGTGCCCGACCACGGCGTCCACCTTCATGGGCGCCATCCTCTGCGACGCTGATGGCTACGTCACCGAAATCAGGTGTGCGGCGTGTTTTGTTTCTCATTCCGCGTTGAATTTTGAGTCGACTCAAGAGTCAACGAGTCAGACCATGTCCACCCTCATGGGACGCCATACTCTGCGACGCTGGCTGTACCAATGAAAATCAGGTTAGGCGTGTTTGTTTCGCATTCCGCGTTGACTTTTAAGTCGACTCAAAGGTCAACTCTGTCCGCGTCCCCTCTCAGGCCTTTGAAAGAAGGTATGAAGCAAGCTCAAGTCAGCTTCTTCCTCAAGAAGGCTGCTGGTTGGGGGGTGCAGGTCACTATGTTCCTTTCACCCTGAATTTGGTGTAATGTCTGCGTCTTCCCTCTCTGCCTCATGCCAGCTCCGTTCATTACCCTCTCTTTTGCGCTTCCGATCGGTCCTGTTTCTGCAGCATATCGTCCTACTTCGGCAACGACGTTTACGCCAGCATCGTGTCCGATATCTCCCTGCTCACACGCCTCTCGCATATGTAAGAAAGCATCACACACGCATACAGTCACACGCATTCATGGCCAGCCATGCATTGCGGTGCCATCCTCTTTCAGCAGCGACGCCCTCGCCAGCATCGTGTCCGATATCTCCCTGCTCACACGCCTCTCGCATATGTAAGAAGCACATTCACTCTCACACAGACCCACACACGTACACATACACCCGTCCGATACCTCCCTGCTCACACGCCTCTCGCATATGTAAGAAGCATCCTCATTCACACACACACACACACACACACACACACACACACACCCACACACACACACACACACCCACCCACACACGTACACATACACCCGTCCAATATCTCCCTGCTCACACGCCTCTCCCATATGTAAAAAGCACCATCACGCGTGCACACGCGCGCAGACACACACACACACACACACACACACACGCACGCACGCACGCACGCACGCACGCACGCACGCACGCAAGCATGCACTCACTCTCACACACACACACCCACACACACACACACACGCACACCCCCCCCCCCCACCCACACACACACACACACACACACACTCACTCACACATGCATACACGCCGCACGCAATTACACACACACGCATTCACACAGATGCACACAAGCGCGCACACCAAGTCCCACCTTTCCTTCCGATGCACATGCCTCCATTCACACCCTGTGCGCTCGAACCATCCACCCACCCACCCACCAACCCCTCAGCAAGATGTATAACATGGACTTTGGAGGACTTTTAAGACGTCTCAAAAACCATCCACCACCACCCACCCACCAATCCTGCAAGCCTTGGGAGCATTCATGAGTCCTCAAGAATCGCCATTTTCACCCTGTGCACCCACACATCCACCACCCACCCACCAACCCCTCAGCAAGATGTATAACATGGACTTCGGAGGACTTTTAAGACGTCTCAAAAACCATCCACCACCACCCACCCACCAACCCCTCGGCAAGATGTATAACATGGACTTTGGAGGACTTTTAAGACGTCTCAAAAACCATCCACCACCACCCACCCACCAATCCTGCAAGCCTTGGGGAGCATTCTTGAGTCGACTCTAGAATCGTCAGTCTCGCCCTGTGCACCCACACATCCACCATCCACCCACCAACCCCTCAGCAAGATGTATAACATGGATTTCGGAGGAGCACCGCTTCCTGCAAGCCTTGCAAGCATCCCCAACCTCGTTTTCCTGTAAGTGCCTTGTGCTCCCGGGCCACTCCTGGATTCCTTTTCTATGTTTTCTTTCGCGATAGTAGATGCTTCACCTTCCTACCTACCCTAGACTATCTGTGAGCGCGTCCTAGTTTACTTTAATACAATTCATTTTTATGCAGTTTATTATGAGCCGCACTCATATTTTTCATGTTAACACGATAACCCGTCCGAAGTAGGCGAGGGAGGCATCATATGCGCCTCTCACAAGTGGTCCTTGTATTGATGTGCCATCACAGTGAGCTGGCAGCAGCGGCCTGTCTGGGGCGATTCCCGGCGATCTCAGCATAATCCCCCACTTCCGCCCCTTCTCTCCGTTCCCCACTTACCCCCGACCCCCTTCCACTGCTGCCATCACAGTGAGCTGGCCAGCAGCGGCCTGTCTGGGGCGATTCCCGGCGATCTCAGCACAATCACCAACCTGAAGCATCTGTGAGTGTCCCAGCCTGAAGCCCGTGGCCTCACTGAAGCCATCAGAGTGAGGTGTGGTGACCGGTAGTGGCCTGTCTGGGGCGATTCCCGGCGATCTCAGCACAATCACCAACCTGAAGCACCTGTGAGTGCACGAGCCAGAAGCACAGCACATGAGCCACGTGAAAACAAACTGTAGGAGCAGGTCAGCTTCCCCTACTTGTATCTTTGTCAACTATCGCACTCAGCTCCATATACCTACTCCTTTCCCACAAGACCCTCTCATCCCACCCCTGCCTCCCTCCCTGTGCGCCATCTTTTTGGACGTCTCAAAGACCCTTTCACCCCACCCCTGCCACCCTCTCTCCCTGTGCGCAACAGCGACCTCTCACGGAACACTTTCAGCACACTTTCATCCACTATCGCCTCCCTCTCCGGCCTTGAGTATCTGTAAGCAGCGCAAGCCGCTCCATTTTCCTCCCTGTGCTGAAGGCATTGCCTTAGAAGCATTGCCTTCAGCACCCTTTCATTCTCCATCTCCTCCTTCTCCGGCCTCGAATACCTGTAAGCAGCAGAAACCCCTCACCTTTCATTTCACCACATTCCCTGCGCTTCCCCATCCTGTTGCTCGCACGCGTCTTTGTGCCTCTCCCCTGTCTGCCATTTTCTTTTGTTTCTCAATGCGTCTTCTTCCTGCAGTCTCTCTTTCACTCTTTCATCCTCCCACTCGTGCGTTGTTGTGCCTGCAGAAACCTCATATACCTCTCGCACCTACAAGTCTCTCTCCTTTGAAGCCCTTCCTCCCCTCTGCTCTTCTTTCCTTTCCCCCATCCTTGCAGCGACCTCAATAGCAACGTGTTGGATGGCCCTATTCCTCCGGAGCTTATGTCCCTTACCAACCTTGCTCACATGTGAGTGGCATCGTATATTGGTGCGACTATTGGGAATTCTCAAATGTCCCTCCGGAGCTTATGACTCTCACCAACCTTGCTCACATGTGAGTGCCAAGGCAATCAATTAGACTATTGAGGCGCCTCAATAGACGGACCTATCCCTCCGGAGCTTATGACTCTCACCAACCTTGCTCACATGTGAGTGCCAAGGCAATCAATTAGACTATTGAGGCGCCTCAATAGACGGACATATCCCTCCGGAGCTTATGACTCTCACCAACCTTGCTCACATGTGAGTGGACACGCTTATGTTCGGTTCCAGTGAGCCCTGAATCTTGCAGCGGCTATTATATACCTTCCGCTCCTCACCAATCCCGTTTATGTAATAGCGCTCCAATCACCCCAATTCATACCTCAGTCCCATCAATTCATCTTGTCAATTCATCTCATCTCTCCCTCTCACCACTCCCACTCATCACTCCATCGCGTCTCTTCACCCATCCCCCGTCCCCTGTGCCATGCGGCAGTGACATGAGCAACAACAGCCTCAATGGCTCCATCCCTGATGCTGTCTCCAACCTCCAGGCCCTCACCCTCCCTCCCAACACTTCCCCCCGTCTCATCTCTTCACCTATCCCCCCATCCCCTGCGGCATGCGCCAGTGACATGCATAACAACAGCCTCAACGGCTCCATCCCTGATACCATCTCCAACCTCCAAAGCCTCACAGATCTGTAAGCGTCTACCTCTTTCCCCACCTGACTTTTTAGTCGACTCAAAAGTCACCACTTTGACATGAGCACCAACACCCTCAGCGGCTCCATTCCTGACGCTATCACCAATCTCCGAGCCCTCACAGATCTGTAAGCCTTCACTTTCGCTCTACCATCCCCATTCTACTTAGCCTGTCACTGGTCACTCTCTCTCGGAAGTTATCTGTCACTCTAACCACGAGGCACCTTTTGATTTATTTCCTCCTAACGCACACCCACACCCAGATTGGAGTGAACTGTCAGAATAGGTTGGTATCATCCCTCTTCTTGTCCTAATCCTCATTCGCTCTCACCTGCCTCGTACCTACCACCATGCCTCCTCTACCCCCCCCCTGTTGACCCACACTTGCATGCAGGGACCTGCCTGACAACTCTCTCTGGACCGATTCCCTCGTCCCAGTCCTTATCCTCTCTCACCTTCCCCATACCACCCTACCTCTTCTACCCTCCCACTGTTGACGTGCATGCAGGGACCTGCCTGACAACTTTCTCTCTGGACCGATTCCCTCGTGCTAGTCCTTATCCTCTCTCACGTGCCCTATACCACCTGTCCTTTCTGCCCTTTCTTGCCACCCTGCCTCTTCTACCCTCTCTCTCCCAATTGACCCACACATGCGTGCAGGGACCTGTCTGACAACTTTCTCTCTGGTCCGATTCCTGCAGGCCTGGGCTCCATCCCCAAGCTCCGTAACTTGTGAGCAGCCATGGATCACACACACACACACACACACACACACACACACACACACACACACACACACACACACACACACACACACACATCCGTACGCCCACGCACTCACGTGCGCACACACACAATCCCAGCCATCCCCAAGCTCCGTAACTTGTGAGCCGCCACGCAGCACACACACACACATCCGTACGCACATGCTCTCACGTGCACACATACACACGCGCGCACAATCCAGCCATCCCGAAGCGTAACTTGTGAGCAGCCATGGATCGCACACGCACAGAGAGACATATGGTTACACTCACACGCGGGCACAAGCACACATGCACGTGCGCACTTGCACATACACATGAGTGTGCGCACGCGCTCGCGCTCGCACACGCACACACACACACTTTCACACTTGCTAAAGCGGTTGCAAAAGGAATTCCCTTCATTTCCAACCTCAACTCTCGTCCCTGCATACTCCTCTTCCCGCCTCATTCCTCCCCACTCCCCTTCCCAAGTGGTTGGGAACGGGCGTCGAGTGCCCCAAGGAGTACGTCAGTTGTGTTAGCGGCGCATAAAATATCAAACTCGTCTGCATACTCCTCCTCCTCTTCCTCCTCCCCCGCCATTCCGCTTCCAGGTGGTTGGGAACCGGCCTCGAGTGCCCCAAGGAGTACACCAGCTGCATGGTGCACCATAGCTCAGGCAGCCAGCTGTGGACCAACTTAAAAGCCTCCTCTTCTTCCATGCTTCCCCGCCACTCACCCCCTTGCAGGTGGTTGGGAACCGGCCCCGAGTGTCCCAAGGAGTACACGAGCTGTGTGGTGCAGCAGAGCAGCGGCAGCCAGCTGTGCATGTGGTGCTCATACTTCTGCTCCACCTGCGACAAGAAAAACCGTGAGTTGGAAACCACAGTCGAGTTTCGAGGCGCATGATACGTCTTTTGAGGTGCCTCAAAAGTCGCCTCTCAACCCCAATGCTCCTACTGCTTCCGCTCCACATGCAACAAGAAGAACCGTGAGTTGGAAAGCAGAGGCGCCTTTTGAGACGCCTCAAAAGGTGCCTCTTAACCCATGACGCTCCTACTTCAGCAAACAACAATGCCAGCGCCAGTGCCACTGCACTTTGAATCGACTCAAAACCCTCTCTTCCTCTTCCATACCCCCTCCACAGCTCTGGACAGCCTTGTCTGGCCCATTCCAGACCCCACCACCACCATCACCACCACGAACAACAACCACAACAACGCCAGCGCCACTGCCACTGCGTTTGGACCCAACTAATAAAACCCTCTCTTCCTCTTCCATATCCCCACAACAGCTCTGGACAGCCTTGTCTGGCCCATTGGAGACCCCACCACCACCATCACCACCACGAACAACAACCACAACAACGCCAGTGCCATGGCGAATTCCTCCAGCTCAGGGCTGTCAACGGGAGCCATTGTGGGCATCGTGGTGGGCATCATTCTGCTCATTGTTGGCGTCGCTGCCGTTGTCTTCATCATCATTCGCTGCGGGAAGAAAACCGAAGGTGGATACCATATTCTACTCTTTCTTTGCTTTCTTCACTCAAGTTTTTCCTTACACAAGCACGCACATTCGCCCAAAAATCAAGTCATCTCCCACGCTACCAGCAAACAAACCTAACAAACTATACAAACGTATCGAGTATACACGAGAATCGCTCTGCTCTCCTGACCGCAAACTGCAACCTCTGCCCTCAGAAAGCAATCAGCAATCTGCCCTCTTGCCAGATTACTTTCGAGTTGACTCAAATGTCACGTTTCAACTTGCTCCCTTTCGAACGCTCCCATACTGTCCAGAGGTGGAAGTGCCTGCATATGCTGGTGGAGGCCAGTACCCTGCTCCAGACGCAACCCCTCAGGGCACGTATGCTAAGGGCTACGGCAGCTACCAGCCAGATGCGAGTGCCAAGGTCTAAATGATAAGAACTAAGCAGCGTCCCGTCCCAGTTCCTGCTACTCTTCTCTACACCTGCACCTGCTGCAATCTGCTACACCGTGCTGTATGTACTCAGCATAATGGTACAACCTGCTACTTTAAATATTCACAGTATGTTAGTCAGCGTGCTTTATCATTAGCGTTTTGCATCATCTAGTTGTACCGTACTACCATGTGCACCAGAAGTACGGTAGAACATTGCCAATCATACCGATATTACATCTGTTGGAAACAGTGAATCTTAAGCGCCTCTGTCGTGTCGAAACACCACACCAGAAGCGAGGCAAAACATATCGAAGCACCCACGTGTCAACCCTCGGAGGTTGAGAAAGTTGCTGGAGGTTACGCGAAAGTCAAAGGTCAAGCGACCTTTGACCTGACAAGTGCAGCGCGACAGTTAAGGACACACAACTGACTCGTTACAGAGCAGTTGCCCGAGTCGTACTGTATCGAACCGCAACAGCAACAGTAAAGTAGTTATAACTGCATCTTTTCATATTCCTTGTACTTTTATATAATCTTGTACTTTCTTGCTATAATCAATCTACTTTGCCCTCACATACTAGCGCAAGGTGGTTCAAACCTCTTCACTAAGCTTCCGCTGTTACAACAAGTTTCTACTCAGAGTTTACCCCTGCAAAGATCCTAAGGGCTGTTCTCAGCCCAACATGGTATGAGAGCTCACAGGAGAAACTCTACTACTATCAAGACATCAGATACATCACAAGACATGGCAACAAACAAGGAAAGGAGCTCCTCTAACGGCTCCCCGGGCACTACTCCTACTCCACCTCCTGCCTCTGGCCTGCAGACAGAGGAGGGCACGGCAACAAGACCAAGGGCAACGTCTACTGAGACTCCTGCAAATCACCCCGCGGACTTCGACCAGAGCATGATGGAGAAATTCTTCTCCTTCATGTCCTTCTACGAGCAACACCAGCAATCGGCACCTGCGCAGTCACACAACAGCAACAACAACGGAGCAACGCCCATGAGCCTCGACGGGTCGTCATATGCGCGCGGAAACCAACAGCAGCAACCTACCTTTGCACCGTAAGAGTGCGGGTCAATCAGCTTCATGCCGCAGCCTTCACCTGGACAAGACAAACCACTGGACGCCTTACAAGTTCAATCGCAATTCGCACACGTTCTGAAGCTACAAACGTCAAGGCCCTTCGACGGAAAGGACTTCTTCACCTGGTCATTCGAGTTCGAGCTGATGATGGAAGGCGCGCAGATACTTGGCTTCTTCGACGGGTCCCTGCAATACCCAGCAAACGGCACACAGTATGAGAAACAGCAGTACACCTATCAGTCAATGATGGCGTACACGATTCTACTGAGAAACGTCACACCGACTCAGCAGCAGAATATACGGTCTTACCGAGCCTTCGGCAATTCGGCGGAGCTTGCATACAGCCACCTGAAGAGCCTGTATCAAGCAACAGACAGCGTAAACCAAAGCAGGTTAATGGCGCAGTTGACAACAGTCGAAATGAAACCGGGAGAAAAGGGGCTGGCATATATCAGTCGCTATCGCGAGTTGCGCGACAAACTCCTTCGATGCGGAGGGTCGATATCTGAAGACGCCTTCATGACAATCATCATCGGCGGCCTCGGTCCCCAATGGCGCGCAACAAAGGCCATCCTCCGAGCCCACGGAAGAATCTCTGAAGCAGCACTCTGCGCCGAAATCCACGCCGAGCAGCAAGATATGGGCCTACAAAAAGAAAGGCACAAGAGAAACACATCAGCACCGGAATTCGCTTTCCACACCCAGCGACGCTACAACAACAACAACAATCGACAGCAGCAACCGAAGCCAGTATCTCCCTTCTATCACATCTGCAAGACGTCTGGGCACCCACGCACGCACTGCCCAAATCGACAACAGGCAACACCTCCACAACGGCAACTTCGACCTTCAAGCAGCCAGGTCGCATCAACGCAAGCAAATCCCACGACCCAACTTCAAGCCTCAACGACCTCAACGGGACAATCTGCACAAGGAACAAGAAACATCGTCAGCTGCATGGCAAGACTAAGTGACTCCTGCATCACCGAATCTCCACCGCATTACTCACCAGAAGAACAACTCGACGAAATGACACCTCGCCGCGAAACACTTCAACCGAATCCGACATACGCGGCCATCGCCCATAGTGAGCCATCCGGGAAGGACACGTGGTTCTTGGACAGTTGCTGCGGACAGCACATGTGCTCTTCAGGACGCTTCGTGCAACGGGAGTATCAGCTTCAACGAGAAGTCGTCATCACCGTCGCCAACAATCAGAACCTGCGCACACGACGGCAAGGAATCGTTCAACTTCAGTCACGTGAAACAAACGTCATCCTGTAGATGTCCAAAGTTTTAATCGCAGAAGGCCTCGGATACAACCTGCTCAGCGTCAGTCAACTGATGGCGAAGGGCATTCATCTTGAAGCAGACAGCACCACCCAGGAGTTCAAGCTATACCACGGGAGATGAGGTCTTTACATTGGGAAGGCAGTCTTGAAGAACAACGTCTTCGTTATTGACTTCGTTCCAGATCTTGGCACCGCCGACAGCGACGCCATCGTTAACTTCACGAACTGGACACACCCTTCGGATCTTGATCCAGACTTCAGCCCGAGCGGCTTCTGGTACTCACACACCATTCCTGAAACAGAGAGAACAAGAGCGTTAGCAACGATTCAACAGTCGGCAGCAGCAGAGACAACATCGGCAGCAGCAGAGACAACATCGGCAGCAGCAGAGACAACATCGGCAGCAGCAGAGACAACATCGGCAGCAGCAGAAACAGCATCAACACCAGCAGGAACACCGACACCAGTCGCCGGTCCTTCAACGGGACTGCCCTTCATCGACGACACGCCACCAACACCCGCACAGCAGATCAACCCGGCACGACGAGAAGTCCACCGAAGCGCAAACGTCACCGCCGGCTTCTACTCCAACTCCGACATGTACCGACGCTCACCCGGACATCGCGCCACTGAAGGAACCTGGCACGCAAGAATGGGACATCCGAGCCACACAGTGTTAAACAACACAATAAGAGCAGGAGTGCTCGACAAAGACTCACTTCTACTGACCGATGGCAGAGAACTTCAGCGAGCTCGAGGAACATGCTTCACCTGCCCCGAAGCAGACTTAACGCGTCAACCGTTTCCATCTCACCACAATCCAAGCGCACCAGCTTACGCACCACTCGAAAAGGTGTACAGCGACATCCTGTACAACCGCGAGCCCGGACAAAACGCCTACAACTACACGATCACCTTCATCGACGCCGCGACCAGATACGTCTGGCACCTCAACCTTCCAAGCCGCGACATGGCCTTCGAAGCCTTCGTCGCCTGGCTCTCCGCAACAGAAAGAGAATCGGGCGTAAAACTGAAAAGTTTCCAGTCAGACGGGGGAGGAGAATACACCTCACAGAGGTTCAAGGACTACTTGGCAGAGAAGGGAATCAAGCGGCTCATCTCTCTTCCCTACGCTCATCAACAACAAGGTGTAGCAGAAAGGATGAACAGGACACTCCAAGCCACCATGCGCAAGCTGCTACGTGGCATGCATCTGCCCAACCACCAGTGGCCCGAAGCAATGGACCACGCCGTCATGCTGCACAACTTGCTCTCGTCATCATCGCTCCCGAACAACGCATCACCGCGTCTGCTATGGACAGGAAAATTGGGCAGCACAAAATTGTTACAAGTTTTTGGGTGCATGGTACAGTACCGACCACCATCTGCACGCGCCGGCCGATTCTCCCAACGAGCACAGTGGGGACTACACCTGGGCATCGAAAAACACCACAACGCATGGAAAATCTTCGACATCAACAGCAAAGAAACAGTCGCAGCACGTGATGTCATCTTCTACGAGAACCTCACCCTCGACGTTCATCTCGCGTACGTCAGAGCAAACAGACCTGATCCCTCGGGCGGATTCATTGGCACTCGAGCCTTCGCCTCGGCAGAAGACGAAGCTGACTGGGACGAGCAGAACGTGGACCGAGCCTCGGAAGAAGCCGGACCTCTTCCCTACTGCCCAGTGGATGTACCAATGGACGACGAAAATCCACGCGAAAGCATCAACGCCGAAGTTTACTACCACTTCGCCGACAACGGTTACGTTACACCCGCTGAAGTCAACACCAACGAAGCAGAACGCGTAGGACCCAACCTGATCCAGAAGCTGGAGACGAAGCAGTTTATCCCGAGGACACCACACTTCCCCGCTACACACAGAGTGGACTCCAGATACTTGGGCTCGTCACCGCAGTCCACGGCACCGCCATTCCTAAGGAGCCTGCGACGGTTCAGCAGGCTCTGGGGGGGGAGCATAAGGAAAAATGGCGCGAAGCCATGGACAAGGAGCTGAAGGCATTAGAGGAACGCAACACCTGGAAGGTCGTCCCTATCGGCGTAGCACGAAACAAGACCATACTCACCGGAAAATGGGTCTTCCGTGTGAAGACGAAAGCTGACGGCACCATCGACAAGTTCAAAGCACGCTGGGTCGTACGCGGCTTCGACAAAGAGCACGGACACACCTCGCTCTGAATTCTCCTCGCGATCGCCGCCATGAAGAAGAAGAAGCTGCGACAAATCGACGTCGCGAACGCGTTTCTTTACGCACCTGTGGATGCAGAAATCTTCGTCGAGCTACCGCACGGTTCCCACGGAGAGCCCAACCAAGTCTGCCAGCTGCTCAAGTCGCTCTACGGCATCAAACAGGCTCCACGACTGTGGCAACAGTACCTACACGCTCGCCTCATCCGCATCGGCTTCAAACAACTATCGCACGATCAGGGCATGTACCGGCTCACGAAGAACGACGACTAGTCCTGCTAATCGTCTACGTGGACGATCTCCTCTACATCGGGTCAACTGACGGCATCACCACCTGGTTCGAAGGGGAGCTGCAGCAAGACCTCACGCTCACGGTCTCTGCTACCGTCACTCAGTATCTCGGCCTCAACATCCGAGAAGAAGAGGACGCAATCTACCTCAGCGCCGAGAAGTACGCCGACACCATCGCTAAACGTTTCGCTCTTACGCCGACCGCGATCTCCACGCCATACCACTACACGACAGGAACCGACAAGGGAGGATCCGCTCTACTCAAACCCGCCGGCGTACGCGACTATCAGAGGAAGCTAGGATGCCTCCTCTTCGCAGCTGTCACCTGCCGTCCCGACCTCTCATACTCCGCAAGCCAGCTCGCCACCTACCTCAAGAAACCCGAAGCAGAACACCTGGCGGAGCTCGACCGCGCTCTTCACTACTTCGTCAGCACTCCAACGATCGGCCTAACCTACCACAAGAACGCAACTACACCAACCAAGCTAATCGGCTACGTCGATGCCGATCACGCCGGCGACTCCGACAACAGGCGCTCACGCACCGGCTACATCTACCGCCTCGAACCTATCGGTCCTATCTCCTGGCAGTCGAGCAAGCAGGAGTTAATCACATTATCATCAGCTGAAGCAGAATACATCGCACTCTGCTCAGCCACCAAGGAAGGACTTTATCTTCGCGAGCTGCTGGAAGAAGCGAAGTTAGCCGAGTTACCCAACTTCACCCTGTTCTGCGACAATCAGTCGGCAATTCGCATCGCCAACAAGAACGGCTTCGCGAACAGGACGAAACACATCGCCCTGCGATACTTCTTCGTGAAGGACGAGATCGAGAAGGGGAGACTCGAACTGTCATACTGCCCCACGTCCGAGATGGCAGCTGACTATTTGACCAAGAAGCTCGGAAAGCAGAAATTCGAGTACTCCATGCTCCTGACTGGACAGAGCCACGTCACCAGCAGTGACACTCCAGAAGCGAAGGGGAGTGTTGGAAACAATGAATCATAAGCGCCTCTGTCGTGTCGAAACAACACACCAGAAGCGAGGCAAAACATATCGAAGCACCCGCGAGTCAACCCTCGGAGGTTGAAAGGTTGCTGGAGGTTACGCGAAAGTCAAAGGTCAAGCGACCTTTGACCTGACAAGTGCAGCGCGACAGTTAAGGACACACAACTGACTCGCTACAGAGCAGTTGCCCGAGTCGTACTGTATCGAACCGCAACAGCAACAGTAAAGTAGTTATAACTGCATCTTTTCATATTCCTTGTACTATTATATAATCTTGTACTTTCTTGCTATAATCAATCTACTTTGCCCTCACATACTAGCGCAAGGTGGTTCAAACCTCTTCACTAAGCTTCCGCTGTTACAACAAGTTTCTACTCAGAGTTTATCCCTGCAAAGATCCTCTCCAAGGGCTGTTCTCAGCCCAACAACAACATGGTACGGTTCGTCATAATAAGAGTTGGTTGGTTGGTAGTGGGGATTCGTGGGCCTATACCTGTCGTGGGGGTATGATGGTGTGGCTCTTCAAAAGATTTTGGGTTGTATGAGTTGTGAAAATTGATCAGCGACAAAGGGCTCTCTCTCGGCTTATGCCTTGGACAAGAGAGGGTTGCTCAGGAGAGCATCACTAGTCAGAAATTACCGGTACTCTTTCAGCTACAATACCAAGTAATTACCGTAAACGCCCGGATATAAGACAGTGTTGAATAGTAGACAGGGGTTGTCTACTATACGGGTGAATCTTATAAACAGGCTAGCCTCATTATAAGACACCTATTTGTGTGTACGAGATAAGACATATATGTCTTATAATCGAAACTTCAATATATTATAGCGAAAGTTGAAATAACGCGTACATTTTTACCCTTGCGAAGCGCGAATTTCTCCACGCGCTGACCCAGGACCTACCAAATTTGCCTCTGCAGGTGTTCTCCATGACGTGGCGTCCCGGGCAGTGGTTGCCGAAGTGGCACCTTCGCAACATCCACACTCATTATGAGGAACTCTTTTTAAAAGTACGGAAAATATTTCTAAGTAGTTTAAAACGTTTCCATTTATAAGGCTTATAAGACACCCTAAATCATCCCATTTACAAGATAACTCAAGCATTTTTGCCCGTGTACGAGATAAGACATATATGTCTTATATCCGGGCAATGACGGTACTTAAGTTTTCATGCAGGCAGCAGCTCAAAACTCAAGAGTCCATCCTTTATGGTTCATGCCCAGCCACACACAAGCACCAGCTATACGGATGCCAAAAAATCACTTCTCTCTCAAAAGGTTGTCACACTTGCTGAGAGCCACCCCTTCAGCACGATGCCATTCACTGTAACCTTAACATAGAAGCTCGAAGGCTTCGTGAACAACCCAGCGTTGACAAACGTCTTGATGGTGCCACTCGGCTGGTACGCGGAAGTGAGCGTGACCTTTTCTTGAAGGGTGCAGTTCCAACTGCCGCTTGTTGCTTCCGCCTGGAATGTGCAGGGCAACTCAGCCAGGAGAGCGCCAGTGCTGCGGTAGTAACCAGGACTGGATATTGATGGAGATGTGCCGTATACGCCTGTAATGCGGAAGATGAATGAGGAAGTTTGGAGAGTGACCGTGCTGCAAAGGGGGAAAGGAAGGTTGGGGGTTGGGGGTTGGGGGAAACAGCGAGGGAGCACGACGGAGCACGACGGTCCTTGTGATGCCCTCGTGCTAAAAGCTGGTAGGATGAAAAAACTTTTCTCCGCTGGTGCTACGAATTTCGTTTTCGCTGGTTCAAGTGCAGAGCCTCTTTTGCACCTTCATTCGGACGTTAGCAGGACTTCTGAGAGGGTGGTACACAAGTTCAAAGCCAGCGTGAATAAGAAACCAACATTCCTCATAAGCAATTGTGGGGCACTTACACGTTAGAATCGAGGATAGACGAGCCAGTCATGCCACTTATCGAGGAAGCATCGGACGTTGCTAGGTCTGCGCGACACGGAGAAGGAGAACCACAACAAGGGTAGGTCACAGTGATCAGTAGACGGAACGAGATAATGGAGAATCAGACAAAAATATAGGAAGGTGTCTTAGAAACACAATAATGTCAGTCTAGCGAAGGAAGGATAAGACGATTATCATATAATCGGACCATCGTGTACCGAACGTGATGGTGGTGCGTACAACAACCGCTGGAGGTTGAAGAAAGTTCGGGTCGTACAGCGAGTGTTGGAGGTTTGGAGCAGATGGCGTCCGGCGATCGCGCTGCAGGCGAGAGAGAGCAGCACTGCCGTACGGGGAAACGGCATGTTCAGAGAAATTAGGGTTACACGATAATGGTACAACCTATTACAGGGAGTAGTACTAGCACCCGGAACTTGTGAAAATCATTCGGAATATTGGTTATAATAATATTTTTATTTCCGACCTGATCTGGAGCAAGTTACGGTCATTTCAGGAAATCTTGCAGTGCGGGTGAGCAGATTTAATGATACGAAGAAGCGGGATAGCGACCAGAGTGATCGCGTCAGGCAAGAGCGAGTACAGGACTTACTTGCGAGGACGATCACAGTTCGCAACGATGCGTGGGCCATTTCTTCGTGAGGTACTAGTTACGGTACTTGCGGCGGGTGATACGATTCGGATTACGTCGCTGTCTTTACGAAAGGGATTGAGGCTCGAACTGAAGTGAAAGAATTGAGATATAAATTGCTGAAAGACAAACCAGGTTCCTTAGCCAGTCGAGCTGAACTAAAGCCGCAAGCGCAAATGACTGAAGAACGATGTGCGGTTGGGGCGTCGCAAATACTGCAGTACCAGTCAGGTTACTGCTAGCTAGGAAGGAGAAACGGGGAGAGCCACGCAGCAATTTGCCGTGGAACTCGCTACTACAACGCACATCATGATGGGTCTTATCAGAAGCCATCGACACTCGGGGACCGCAAAGCGCGACGGCGGTCACAGGTGGCTTGTGACTTGACCGCACCTTTCCAGGTCCCTCAGTACTGCTGCTTCCCTAGTTTCTGGGAAATATGGCATCAAAATCAGGTAAATGCTGCTCCCTTCTGTTCCCCTCCCCCTGGCAGCCTCCAGCACGGTATTTAGGAAATTCGTGAAGTTCAGTTCGGTGAAGCTGTTCTGACCTCACCCTGTCTCAACGAACAGAATCGCCGAACCTCGTTGAACCGTTCTAGAACCTATTGAATACGTTTTGTAGTGTGCAGAATCGTACCGAACAATTTTCTTTTATGCCAATAACCATTCCTGCCTCAACCCTGGAACATCAATAAACCAGCTCGCTCCAGGCGCCGTGTCTGGCGCAAAACTATTTGAAAAGCACCTGTTCACGTGTTCGGTATAACGAGTCCCTCGGCATCAACCAAGTCAACCGCTTACAGCACACTAAAAGAAAAAACAATATCGTTTCTTGCAGTACAAAATCCACTATATTTTGTTGATCCACACACCAGTAACCCCCTCCGCACTCTCCAGGTATAAACATTATCAATTCTCTAGACACACTACTACAGTGGCTGTAACTAGTGCAATAATGTGGTGATAGGCCCTTGAATGCGAGAGAAAGGATTTGCCTTGGAGAGTTTGCAGGTGTACCACACATTGGTTTACACCTGACCAGCAGCACCAGGCTGGTAACCAGCATAAGCACCCTGAGGCGGCTTTTCGTACTGGCCGCCCCCTGCATATGCTCCCGCGGGTTGAGTCGTGTACTCCACCTGCACCTCTGCAGAGAGGAAAGGATGGCAAGGGGAAGCGAAGCAGGAGAGGGAGAGCTGAAGATAAGCATCTCCTCCTCGTCACTGACAGGTGTGAGGGAGTGACTTACCTTTGGAACTGTTGACGCACTGAATGGTCATGAAGATAACGGCAAGTGTGAGGGTCTCTTACACATGGAGAGGATAAGCACTCTCCTCCTCACACACTCTCTGACAGGTGTGAGGGAGTGGCTTGCCTTTGGACCTGTTGCCGCACTGAATGACGTTGAAGACAGCAGCAACGACGCCAACGACCAGCAGCAGCACGCCCACCACGATGCCCACGTTGGCTCCCGTGGTCAGCCCTGAGCTGGAGGAGGAAGCACCAGGGGCGCTGGCTGTTGGGTTTCAGTGGCTTACCTTTGAACCTGTTGCCGCACTGGATGACAATGAAGACAACGGCAATGGTGCCAACAATGAAGAGCATCACGCCCACCACGATGCCCACGATGGCTCCTGTTGTCAAACCAGAGCTGGAGGAGGAAGCAGCAGTGGCGCTGGCGTTGGCGTTGTTGTTGTTGGTGTTAACGGTGTTGATGTTGGTGGTGCTGCTGCCGTCGGGGTTGGATGGAGGAGGCTCAACAACAGGAGGAGGGGGGGGAGGAGGAAGGGAAGGAGAAGACTCGGAGGGAGGGGCGGGGTTGGGAGGAGAGATTGGAGGCATGGAGGGGGATGCTTCTGATGGGGATGCTTGGGATGGGGACGCCTCGGATGGTTCGGCAATGGATGGTTCGGCAATGGATGGTGGGGCATCGGACACTGGGGCTGCACACAAAACAAGAGTATCAGAAACGAAGTGGTTAACTTTCTCCAACAAGTGTTATGCGCCAGGTAGGCATGATGCAAGTGATGGTACCCACCAGGGGCAGGAGGAAAGCAGCGTACCCACCAGGGGCAGGAGGAAAGCAGCGTACCCACCAGGGGCGGGAGGGATGCAGCATGGTACCCACCAGGGGCGGGAGGGGTGCAGGAGGAGCAGAAGGCAGCACAGGCAGTGCAGAACTCGCTACCCTCTCTCTGCTCCACCACACACGAGGTGTTGCTGGCCGGACAGGCCACGGTAGCATCGTAGTTTCTGCATGCAGGGGAGAAGGGAAAGTACAGGGGAGAAGGGAAAGGACAGGGGAGAGGGCAGGAGAGAGGGTGAGAGGAGGGTGAGAGGTGGGTGAGAGGGGGTTTGAGACGTCTCAAACCACAGGCGGTGCAGAACTCGCTGCGCTCTCTCTGCTCCAGCAAGCACGGGGTGCCACTGGCGGGGAAGGCAACGGAAGAGTCGTAGTTGCTGCATGTAGGGGTGGTGAGAGGGGATGTTGGAGGGCAGAGGTGGGACGCTTAGAGGGCAGGGGTGGGAGAAGGAGGAGATTGGCGGTGGATGGAAAGCAAGAGGGTCATGAAGCAAGGAATTGGGGATGAAGCTAGGAAGGGCGGTTGAAGCAAGGAATTGGGGATGAAGCGAGGAAGGGGGGATGAATCGAGGAATTGGGGATGAAGCGAGGAAGGGGAAATGAAGAGGAAAGGGGGTTGAAGGGAGTGCAAGCAGGGTTAGTGCATACAGAGTGCAAGCAGCGCCATGTCATATGTTCATAGTGGTGCCTTTTGCACTTGTACAATTACAATGTGCTGCTCACAAGTCACTCTTCTGTTCTCTGGTACGTCATCCTACACACAGAACAAGTCTGGCAGCTGTGATGTGCTGTGGCAACTGTGATGTGCTGTGGCAACTGTGATGTGCTGTGGCAACTGTGATGTGCTGTAGCAACTGTGGTGTGCTGTAGCAACTGTGGTGTGCTGTGGCAACTGTGATGTGCTGTGGCATTTGTGCTGTGCTGTGGCACGTTAGCTAACAAAGTGAGGAGTAGTGGTGCGCCAAGAGTGGCAGGAAGCGTGCCAGTCAGCTTGTTTCCCTTGAGCCTCCTGTGTGGGTTGGCAGAGAAGTGTACTCGCACTGAAAATTCAATGATATGGGTGTGAGGTTATCTTTAATGGAAATGACGGCACTTAGGCAATGAGGTGCGTTGGGGTGAGGACATGAGGGCAAGAGAAGCAGAGAAGTGGGAATGAGGGCATGCAAGGCAATGATGTGTGTTGCGGTGAGGACGTGAGGGCGAGAGAAGCACAGAAGTGTGTCAAGAAGTGATATGTGTTAGAGATCCGCGCTCAGAAGGCAGCAGCACTGAAAGCAAGCAGCAGCACACACAGCAAGCAGCATCACACACAGCAAGCAGCAGTACACACAGCAAGCAGCAGCAGACACAGCAAGCATCAGCACACACAGCAAGCATCAGCACACACAGCAAGCAGCAGCACACACAGCAAGCAGCAGCACTGACAGGGTATTAAGGCGAGGCAGCGAGCCGAGGCCGGATGGAATAGAGCCTCCCACCCCTGTGTAGTCGAGGTCCCTGATGTGGGCATGGTGTGGGGGGGGGAAAGTAGGGTCAGAGGATGGGCATGATGTACGGGAGAGGATGGGAAGGTAAGGGGTAGAGGATGGGGCAGAGTTGGGAAGATGCTGTAGTTGGGAGTTGAATCCCATGTAGCTCGGGCACATGGAGTTGGCTCGCCAAAAATCTGGATATACAAATTTTTATCACACACACACACACACACACACACACACACACACACACACACACACGCGCGCGCGCGCACGCGCGCGCCCGCGCGCGCCCGCGCGCGCACGCGCGCGCCCGCGCCCGCACGCGCCCGCACGCACGCGCCCGCACGCCCGCGCACGCACGCCCGCGCACGCACGCACGCACGCACGCCCACGCACGCACGCGCACGCGCGCACGCACGCGCGCACGCACGCACGCACGCACGCACGCACGCACGCACACACACACACACACACACAGACACACACACACACACACACACACACACACACACACACACACACACACACACACCACACACACACCAACACAGCTCCATGGCTGACTGACTTCCATGCTGGCTGTTTTTCTCAAGCAGAGGGAGAACAAGTAAGATGATAAAAGAAGACTGGTTCAAGTCGCTGAATGGGATGAGATGGGGTGAGGTGCGGTGAGGTGAGGTGAGGTTAGTTGCAGCGAGTTGAGGTACGGTGTGGTAGGGTACTGGTTTATCACGAAGGCTTACAGAACGATGAGGTTTGTAAGGGCGTTGATGGTGCTGGGAATGGTGCTGCCTGTGAAGTTGTTGCCTGAGAGCATGCTGCAGGGGACAGAGCGGAGAGCATTCACACATGAATGGTGATGGAGGGATTTCTCACATGTCTCAGGAATAATGCTGCCTGTGAAGTTTTTTCCGAGATGTTGCTGCAAGGAACAGAGCGTAGGACATTCACACATGCTGTTGCAATGAGGCTCCGGTGACTGTTCTTTCCTCCTCCCCTTCTCGCATATCACCCTCCCCTCACACGCCTCATCCCCCTCTCACACCCCTCCCTCCTCTCACACGCCTCCTCTCACCCTAGCACACCCACCCTCCCTCCCCTCACACGTGTGCCTCCTCCCCTGGCTCACAGTATTCCATTTTGGGAATGGTGCCAATGGTGTTGGTGAGTGGACCAATGTTCTTGTTGGCACTGCTGGTACCTCCCTCACAACCCACCCTCCCCTCATCACACCCCACCCTCCCCTCACACCTATGTTGAGAAAGACGCACGGAGGACGCACGGCAATTTTTTTTTTTCCGGGCTGCCTGGAAAAAAAATCCCGATCGTGAAATTGACATTTGCGATTTCGACGCGAATGTCGAAATCGCGAAATTTTGACCCCCCCCTTGCCCAAATCGCTGTTCTAAAACCGCCCCCCCAACATTTCATAACCCTCCATTTACCCACCCACCGAATTCTCTTTCGTGAACCCTAGAGGTTTTAGCTTACTAGCTTAACTCCGTTAAGGCTAAAATGTGTGTGTGACCTTGTGACATGTGTGACATGACGTGACTCACCTTTATCTTGAATTTTGGGGGAAAAAAATATTGTTGGGGACAAATTCGTCTTGGAAGTGTGGAACGTCCCTCCCTCCCCTGACTCACAGGTACTCCAGGTTGGGAATGGTGCCGATGGTGTCAGTGAGCGGACCGATGTTGTTGTTTCTGAGATCGCTGTGAGACGTGGGAGGGAGAGGCGAGAGAGGGAAGTGGGAGGGAGGGCATGTGATGCAAGTGGGAGGGAGGGCATGGGATGCAAGTGGGAGGGAGGGCATGGGTGCAATCCAGCCTTAGAGAAGTTATAGATTAGCAAACACGGGTTGTGCTTATAGAAGGACAGGGTGTGCTTGAAACAAAAAAGGAAATACAGCGAGGTGAGGGTATGCTTACAGCAAAGTGAGGTTCTTGAGGTTGGAGATTGACTCGGGGATGGGCCCTGTGAGGGCTGCACCTGTGGTGTCGTAGTCACTCACACTGATGGTGCTGTACACACACACAAGGGGGGGAAAGGGAATAAACAAGAGAGGAGAGGAGGGATTCAGTGAGGCCATCCCTATCACTCACGCTCATGCAGATGCTCATGTGTACGCGCAAGGAGGAAACATGTACAAGAGAGGGACCGTGACACCATTGCCAATCACTCATGCTGGACGTTTCAGCAAGAGAGGGGCTGGACAGAGAGGCCTTGGACAGAGAGAACGCGCCTCAAGAGAGAGGCCTTGCACAGAAAATAGTTTTTAAGGCCGGCCTGGTGCATAGTGAGGAAATTGAGAATGATACAGAAAAGGCGGGAGAGAGTGATTGTATCGAGAAAGCGGTTTTTACAGTGATTGCAGGCTGGCCATGTTGCCAAAGGATGCTGGGATGCTGCCCGACTCCATCTGGTTGATCTTCCTGCACAACCGAAGGACAGTGATGAGAGAGAGAGAGAGAGAGAGAGAGAGAGAGAGAGAGAGAGAGAGAGAGAGAGAGAGAGAGAGAGAGAGAGAGAGAGAGAGAGAGAGAGAGGGGGGGGGGGGGGGGGGGAGGGGGGGAAGAGAGGGGGGAAACCGTGAAACCATTGCCAATTACCCTGCTTGATCACACTGCACGGCAGGAAGGAGGGGACTGACAATAATAGAGGGGAGTGACAATGATAGAAGGGAATGACAATGATAGAAGGGAGTGGGCTAGAGAGACAACGCATGGTTATGTGGTGGGGACTGGGCAGCACAGTGGGTGACGGGCAACGCCGTGTGTGAAGGGCAGCTAGTGTGCGGTGCGATGCAGTGTGGTGCGGTGGAGAGGGGCTCACAGCTCTTGCAGGTTGGTCATGTTGCCCATGCTGGCGGGCAAAGTGCCTCTGATGGGGACTAACCCCAGGTCC